AATGGAATGAGGAGGGGAGAAGGAGAAAAGCAGAGTTGGCAGGAGGATAGAAGGAAGGAGAGTTACACAATATTCTCTGTCAATATCATCAAAAAGTATTCTGTACCACATACTCAGGTTATTTTGAACCATACAGTAATGCAAGCCAGTAGTACTTCTTTTATTATTATTAGCTAATAGCAATGGTATCTCAATTACATTCTGCCTGCCAGAGTCTCCAGCCCAAATGAAGATGCATTGAATTTATTAATATGGTGACACTTTCATGGGAACCATTAATAAGCACTGGTTTCTGAATTGTTCCCCCACAGTTTATGTGCTATTTTCTTTTGGACTCATGCTGTTGAGAACTATACAATATTCTTTCTATGGATTCTGACTTCATATTTTATTTGCTTAAAGCTGAAATCATCTACTTCATTTTCCATCAACATACTGTATTCCTTATAATGCCAGAGGCCTTCAAATGCAACTAATGAGTTCTTTTTCCAATTAGCTGTTTTAAATTTTTCTTCTTTGCTCTTTTGAAGGAGATTAGTAAAGGAAACAAAACTAATTACCAATATGCTCTAAAATGTAGCTGTTGCCACTGTGCTCAATATTTCAGAGGATGTCCACATCATTTTTTGGACCTTCTTTTTTCAATTTAATAGAATAAAATGTCCCCTCAATAATTTGAAAATTTGCAAACAGCAAATGTGTAAAACAACATTTTTTCCTGGATTCCATGTCAGGCATCTGTTTTTATGCTTTAGCAAAATTAGATCTAAGGATAATGAAACCTTATCATCTTTTTAAAAGTGATATTTAATATTCAAAACAACAGACTGGGAAAGGGAGCTCAGATTAAAAAGGTAAGGGCATAAAGATCAAATGGAAATTTGATGTTTAAAGAGTAAACATTTTTATTATATGATCCATATATATAGTTTGGTAAGGTAAAGAGTAAGGCTTCAGGGAAAAATGACTGAAAAACTCGAAAAAGTAATCTCTCAAACGGAAATTAAAATGGTTCATGAGCATGTGAAAAAATACATATGAGGGAAAACAAGAAATGTAAACAGTGGTCAAACAGGGTCATGGTTGGAAACCAGACTTTCAGTGGTGATCAGGATGCAGAGTGTCACATCATATTATTCCACTGGCCTCATGAAATATATGCAATGTTATAAACTAATGTTTCACCTCCACAAAAGTTTATTTTTAAAAAAAAAATGTAATTCGGCCCTCCCTGGTGGCGCAGTGGGTTAAAGCACAGCACTGAGAAGCTAAAGCCACTTCCTCATGAGTTCGATTCCCACCTGCCCCGGAAGTGACCACATGGTGTGGCAGACCTCTCCTGGCCCGCCTGCTGCTCCCCTCAGCAGTGTACTTCCTAGATCTGCCTTCTGCTCCCCACTCTGTCTCTGGTGAAGCCTCTTGCCGCCCCTGAGCCTCTGGCCTGTACCCCAGCTCTGTATGCACAAATAAATAAATCTTTTAAAAAAAATGTAATTCAGAACACAAATCGTATTTTTCCTTATAAAGTCACAATATGAGAACAGAAAATAGCAAGAATGCAGTATAATAGTTTACTATATACTATTGGGAGGATAATTTAGTAAAATAATTTTGGATAAACTATAGTAAAGTAAATACAAGTATGAAAATTTTGTATAATATTTAATTATTCCTAGATAATTAAAGTTGAAGTCACAAATAAAAATTGGGATTTTTTACAGATATAACTATAAGGAACTACTATGAATAATATGGAAATAGCATACACTATAAAATATATGAGAATATAAAGGATGTTATACATTACTTTATATAACATAATATATAGTAGTGTAAAGGGAGAAATGAATAGTTGGATAGCTACATGAATTTCAAAATGTTTTGAATGTTAAAGATATTAAGACATTTGAATATTAGCATAATCAGACATGCTTCATTTGCACATACATGAAGAAAATATGAAAGTCTTAATAAAGTTAATTAATAACAATCACTTTAAAAATGTAATATTCCTGAAGTGTTTACTGTATTTTCATACTTAACTGATTAATAACACAAAATTATGAATAGAGATATCATAAAGGCCAATGTTTTCACAGGAAAGAAAAATAAATTTTATTATTAATCCAAGTTTCTGGTGTAAAGCCTGTGGAAACTTCTTAACTACAGTAATATAGGGTCTGCTCACCTCACATCCTTCATTGACTAAAACTTCTATCAACTATAATTTCATTGAAATTCTTTTTTATTATAAGTCCTTTGCCATCTTTAGGCAAATTGGAAAAAAATCTTAATTCTATATTTATGACAAATTCTCTATTTTCATAAATCTACTTTGACCTTTAACACAAAGTCGGGACTATTAGATTCCATTAATTTAATTATTAGGAGTGGAGAGTATGAAGAAATTATCAGTGGACAAGGAAAATCAGTAAGAAAATGTTTTTGAGGGCAAGAAAAGAGGAGTCAGAATAAATATTGTCTGAATAACTTCACTATTGCCTGCAATAACAGGGAAGACAGGAAATATAAATTGTAGATCTGGCAAAGCTCACAGTGGACATCTTTTAGTCACATATAACATAATATTGTAGGAGAGAGATAAGATCAAGAAGGAACATTTCACTCTGCAAGCAGACTTCTGAGGATATATTTCTAACCCAGGACTTGCTGAGTTGGAAAATAAAAATTTCACATTTACAGAATCTCCAGCTGGCAAAAGATTTTCCAAATAAGACATTGTCTCAAAGAAAAGATCACATCAGAATGTTGTCTGCAAGTCGAGATCAAATCAAAGTTGTAGCTCTAAGACACATTGTTAAACTTCAGAGATTTCAGAAACTCTTAGCAATATAAAAGTTCCAACAATCCTTAGTGTCCCATGGTATCCTAATTCTTCCATGCAGCTTCTCTTGAAAAGCTTTATGGACAGCTGTTCTATTCAATGGGATGGAATTATAGTTTGATATATGGAAATCCTGTACTTTTTTTTAAGAGTTGTAATAGCTTGGAATAAAAACTATATAAATAATTTGACTGTTATTTTGGAACATTTGTTCTATTTTAAATTGACTCTCAGTTTGTAGCTAGTTTATATAGTTTGGTATTATTTCAAATAATAACAATAAGGAGAAAAATATTATAACTAAGAATTACTGAACACCTTTAAGTAAAAGTATTGTGCTCAGGACATTTTATAAACTATCCCACTTACTCCTCAAGATATGAGTTTTAAACTGTTCAAGAATTCTGATGCACATCTAGTATTTTATCTCAGTGATGTCATCAGAAATGGAGCTGACACACTTACTTGATTTGCTCAGAGCAACTTCATAAGATTAAAATCATGAAGGGGACTCAATAGTCTAATGAAAAAAGAAAGCTAAATTAAGAAACTTTCATATTATACAGCAATTAACCAAAGCACGTATGTTAACATAATTATTACTTTCGTTCTAAAGGTAGGGAAACTAAGTCTCAATGAGGTTATGCTGTCTGAAGTTACACAGAATTAGACAGAAGCAAGATATGAACGCTGGTATTATGACTTTGGAACACTCACTCCTAAGTACTAAACCTGCACTCTTCTTATATTGGATCAAGTAACTATTTATATAAAAACAATGGAAATATTATCAGGTTTTGCATATGAAAAAAATAACCTGTGGGCCTCCCACATGGCATAGAGGTTAAAGTCTCAGTGCTATCAAACAATCTCCATTCTATTCATGAATTCGATCTCCAGCCAGGGAGGTGACATACATGGCACAGCAGACCTTTCTTATCTTGCCCACTGCTCCCCTCAGGAGTGTATTCCAATAAATCCATATCCTTCTCCATACTCTGTTTTTGATGAGTCCTCACATCCCCAACACCTCTGGCCTACACCTCACTTCTTGTATGTACAACTTTAAACAACAACAACAAAATGACCTGCAACAGAACACATCCTACATCACAAGATTTGCATACTACATACCCCTAGAAGTGACAACCACTCACAAGAGGTGTCTAGAGGGGTGAGACTGTGACTTCTGGCTCATCCCTCATCAGATAGTGCACCCCTTGGCCCTAACTGTCTGTGCAGTGCCTGTTCCAGCACCAGTGAACTTTATCTGGGTTCCAGATGACAGAGAGAACAGGTCGCGGGAGGCCATCTTTTATGTGAGCAGCCTTCATGAAAGCTGAGCAGGCCTGCTGGTTTATGTTGAATAGGTAGAGCCTTGACAGCACTATCTTAAATCTATGTCTTTGCCACATATCTGCTTTATAATTTTAAATAAATGCCTATAGACATTTCTTTTGTCAAAAAATAGAAGAAATAGAAAAAAATGATGAAACTAAAAAAAAAATCTACATTAATGAAGAGCTATAGCTGAGATCTGAGGCACATACAAAAGTAAAATATCCAAAGTTATGGTTCCCATAGCAACTGCAACACAGTTGGGTTTCACTTTTATGTTAAGTAAGTTTAACTTGAGTGGGAATGCAAAATACTTTCTCTGAGCCAAAAAAGAGAATTATGGAAAACACAGAGACTGTGGCTCAGAATCTTGGCCTATAAGTATGTCAGATATCAATTCTAATATGTAAAATATTCTCACACCAAGCTATATATCTACATACTCTCTTATATTAATTTTATACTATCAGTCTATAAAATATGATTATTAAAATGAAAAAATTCACCATGGTTAAAATGGTGAATGGTTAAATCAGAGGCTATGACTTTATAGTTTAGAATTATTTGGACACATTTCTGCTAGTAATTACAAGAAAATATTTGCTGAAATAACAATTTATGAAAATACAATCTGATGATTACATCTAGTCAAGCACTTCAGATTTGAAATTACTGTAATGAAATCTGAAACTATGAAAACAACATATGGTACATTAAGTATGGAATATACATGGATGTTTTGAAGATATCTGTACTTGCTAGAATATATATTTCTCTATTTCAATAAAAATTTTTAAAAGGCAAGAAGGGTACTTACTCCTGTTATGTAACGAGGTCTATATTGAATAGTTCCAAATAAACCAAGAATGACGATAATAATATGTATAAAATTTGCCAGGATAGGTGCCCACTGATATCCAAGGAAGTCAAATATTTGCCTCTCCAGCACACAAACCTAGAATAACAAAACAGGATGTATAGATGAGCACAGTGGTGAGAGAAATATATACCACATTGGTTTTATAATTAGTAATTATAATTGTGTCACCACAGCAGACATTTTTTTATTTCTAACACTGAGAGTGACCTTTTCAGTATATTTCAAAGGAAAACTATGGATTCTGTGGATCCATAGGCAGCTACAATCTTTTCAGGGATGATTTTGCAGAGGCATCAAGCAGTATTCACAGGATGTCACCTGTGCAGTCACAGGATAAATTATATTGTCATATGCACTGTCAAACACTTGAAACCATCAAACAGTAAGTTTGAGGAGTGAAGTCCACATGAAGGATTTGTTGTTCAGATTTGTTCAGTTGTTAACACATAAGTCGTGAATAGAGCAAAGGGGGCTATATAGAGGAAAATATCAATCTCTTAGGCAAGTCCAGTGAGCTGGATTCCAGACACAGGTCTGTCATTGTGTGGCTATAATGTCCTAGGTCAATAATTATCCTTGTTGGAGTCTAATTCTTTAGGAATTCCAATTAGTGTCTAATAATGCAGGGTTTCAGACTAGTGTCTAAGTCTTCCTAACCTTAAAAGAATAGATAAAAAATGGACCATAACTTGGTCATATTAACCAGGTAAGAGGGCCCTAAAATTAAAATGAGATGACAGGAAGCAAAAACTAAAATCCAAGCATTGCTTTTTTTTTTTTTTTAAAGTATTTTAGTTATGTCAAATTATCCTATATTCAGCTGTGCTTACAAATTTACATTGAAAAAAAATGTAAAAATATAAGCAGGAGGAGTAAAGCAAAACCAATCAACCTACCTTTAACCAACCAACAATAAAAGGACTCTAAGAGTGGCCCGTGGGACATAAGGGTTATTTTCACTGAAAAGTGAAATATAGAGAGCTGCCAAGTCTCTCAAAAGAGCTATGGTGTGATTTTCACCCAACTGTATTACTCCTGCCTGCCCACAGGTGGAACGATAATAGATAGGAGTAATCACTGAGAAGAACCTATCTTTTTACACATATTCACACAAATATTTGGCATGCAGATTTAAAAAAAATTGTTTTTAAAAACTCGAAGTCACAGATATCATTAGGCTCTAATGATAATCTCTTGTCAGAAAAGTGGACTAACTCATGAAATGGACTTAATGCTTTTGAATGTAGATATTATTTTTGTTTGAAGACTCCTTGAATGATGCTTATTAAACTGCATCTCTTTAACTGAGCAGTTCATTTCCCCATCAGGCACTGAGAGAACAATAAACTCTTTTTCTGTCCCACAATACCTCTGTGCCCTAAGGTACAATAGTACATTTAAATATCTATAATAATACACCAGCATTGCCAAATATTAGTTTTCATTTAGAGTTGTCATTGATTAGAGAGCCAGCCAGCCAGAGACAGCATATGTAGGACTGTTCTGCTCTGAATATTCTGAATTCACACTGTTCAACAGAACCGTAATAGTGGAATTCAACATTCTGACTGATAAAAAGCACACTGGCATAGAACTCCAATAGAATCCCAGCCTCATAAACCTTGAACTATCTTCTGTTGAAACATTCCTCCAACCATTTACCAGGCAGTCACCATGCCACACAGAGGATGGTTATTTGTGATGTTAGGCAGTATTACTATGTCTCAGTGGAAATCTATCAAGCGTATGTGATTGTTCTCAGAGCACTATTTTTAATAATCTATATAAAAACTCACTTTAATATAAAACTCTCTTACCCTTATCCTATGAATAAACAGTTAGCAGGAAAGCAAAACAGCAGCAAGAAGAATCTAAACTCTATAAATTTTGAGCATCATAACCGTGGAGACACAGCAGGGAAAGTATAAAGGATGAAGCACATCAGTCAAACAGTGGGGGGTCTCTCAATAAATGCTCCAATTATGGAAGAAAATAGCAATGCCATCATTGATTATAAAAATATATAGAGATGGTAATATACTTGCTAAGTCTGTGAGGCTAAAATGAGGTGCCATCAACATATATCAGCCTTTTTTTTATGACAGAATGAAGAGTTTCACCTCACATTACTTACAAGGTTGCACAGATTGGATAAGTTGATGTGCAATTCTTCACCTGTAATAACTCTGATTTCCCCCCATCTTTTTTACTAGCCCTATTTGCCTTCTTATCATTATCACGGGTTCTAGAATTTGATGTTAGACTCCAGAATAGAAGATTTTTGGAAAATAACTTAGTACTGAGGAAGTAAAGGAAGTAAATACTTATAGGAGTTGACCCTCTCTCTCGGAAGTATTCCTTCTGACAGTGTTCATTGACTATGAAATTACTGGTGCTTGAAGAGTTGGAGGAAAGAGATGGGGTATATATTAAAACAATTACTATATGCTGGGCAGTCACACAATTCCCAGGCATCTAGCTTCTCTTGATAATACACAAAACCCAGGAATCTTTCTTATTCTTCAGATTAAGAAATCTATCAACCAGTGTGACTAATGATTCTCCTGAGGTCCTGGAAATGGTTAGTGTAAGAATGGAAATGGAGGCCACTAGACAGGACCCCCCCATGCTGTGACCCCACTTTGTGAATACACAGCTAACATAATCCAAACCAAAATGCCTTCACTAAGTTGCAGGTATATGTTGGGGGCACACTACATGTCTCATTTCTAAATTTACTTATTTTTGAATACTGTAGAGGATCTCTTGGTCATACTTACCAGCTCAGGATATTAAATCATCGTTGGACAAGGCAAATCTCCTTTGTTTTATTTTATTATTTGCTTCTTCAGCCTATGTCCTCAGGTATTATTCCCCTTTCACCCACTGGACTATCTCTAGCATAGCTACATTGTATACCCTTAACTCCAAGGCATATAAAGGTATGAATGGCCTTGAACAGTTCATGCACTTGCTCTTTGTGTGCCTGTGTGACAGTCACAGAAAAATGTCTGTGTATAAGCTCCTTCATTCTTGTCTATTTTGCTTATACTTACATTTTGGTTGTTTGTGTTTGGTTTCTGCATAGTAGGCTATTATAAATGTGTAACTTATTGCTTTAAAAAAATGCTGTTTCTTTTCATTACTATTTTTATGAGGATTTTATTTCTTCACACATAGGGGACAATTTTGTCAATTTTTATTTCTGCATCCACTGAGACACTCATTTTATTCTTTTAGATCATTATCATGATTGATTATATTGATAGTTTTTATCATGTTCATCTGAAGAAAATACAATACCATTATCATAGTTTCAGTTGGGTTAATAAAATTTTATTTGAGGCTTTTGTATTTATAAACTGACTTATAATTCAGTTTTTTTTTCTCTCCTTCTGATTCTTTTATAAAAGTTGCACCAGCCTTAAACATAAGTAAGGTGCAACATTTATTTAACAAACTTTTAAGAAACTATCCAGTCGTCTTCTCCAAAAGCAATCTGTGTCAATTTGGGAATATACTGTTAGCTGCATATTCAGGAAAATATTGCATGCAGATGCCAACATCAAGGTGAATATCTGTCAATGTGTATGTAAATTATTTTCACATTTTTTATTTATATAAATGGGATTATAATGCATACATGGCTTTTTACCATGCACTTCTCACTTAGATATGTGTTGCAGAGGTTGTACATTCACACATCCCACATTTATAGATCTGTCTCATTATATCCTTATTTAAACATTGCACTATAACAGGTATTTAATTTGCTTCAAATTTTCAGCTTTAATACACATGTGTACATTAAACAATTCTCTAAATATATGCTGACCTTTCTATAGATTAAATTCCCCAAAGTGGGAATGCTCTATCAAATTCCAAACTCAAAATCCTACATAGAAGAAGTATTATTAATTCTTCATTGATGTCTATGTATCCACTAACACATGAAAAATACTCTTCTTTGGCATTATAGTACATGTGAATTGTAATAGTTGGTGTTAATCTAGTGCAGTATGTTTACATTGATAATGGTCTCTATAACCTTTCTAGTAAGTACCATAAGTAAAACTTATCTTACTTTCTTTGCCAACAAATGCTCATTAAAAAGTCTGTGAAAGGCCCTCCCTGGTGGCGCAGTGGGTTAAAGCACTGCACTAAGAAGCTTAAGCCAATTCCGCATGAGTTCGATCCCCGCTTGCCCCAGAGGAGATCCACATGGCTGGCAGACCTCTCCTGACTCGCCCGCTGCTCCCCTCAGCAGTGTATTTCGTGGATCTGCCTGTTCTGCTCCCCATTCTACTCCTGGTGAATCCTCTCACCCTCCTCATCTCTGGCCTGTACCCCAGTCTGTATGAATCAATAAATAAATCTTAGAAAAAAAAAGTCTGTGAAACATCTTCATAATAAATAAATAATTGATTTTTTCCAACTATCATTGTTATTGCCATAAAACAAATACTTTAAAAATAGGAGGTGTTGTGTAGTAAGTAATATATATCTGAGAAGGCTTGTGATCCCACACCTCTAAGTCATCTTCTGTGTTATAAACCAAAGTTAGCTAAATAGCACAATGTAAAAAAAAAAAAATGCTGAGTTAAAAATATAAGATTAGATATAAGCAACTGGAGTTTCCAGTCCTATATTGTGGATTAAAATTAAATTTATCTATGAGCATCCAGTTTTCTATGTATTTTCTTTCCACCATCTTTAAGTTATTCCAGTTCTTTCAGGAACACAAACTTTCAGATTGTTCCAACTGTCAAGTTTCTGGGGAAAGAGATATAACATAGACTCACAATGTGATCCTAAGCAAGTGGAATGCTCCCACCTGTAGGGGACCGAGACCAGGACTTTGCTTCCTATGCACAAAACAACACTTGATTGGAACTTAGAGTAAACATCCTGGTTGAGAATGCAGCACACCCCAATCCCTTCCCCCACTCTCCTTCCTTTCCTGCTCAGCAAGCTTTGGTGCCAAAGAGACAAAGAGATAAGGATGGATCCCTTTCCTCAAACACATTGGCCTTTAAGACATTAGACCACCAAACCACCCCCTGCCTGTACCTTCT